ACATTTAAATGCAGAGCCACATAGGCACGTAATAATAAAAAAACTTAATAATACAATTCAGTGAATAAAACAAACCAAAAATACATTTTAATTTACCAATTAAAACAAAACAATTAATACAATAAAATGAGCAATTAAACAGATAAAAATAAATAAACTAGTAATTAAAACAATTAACTTAATAAAACGTAATTAAATACAATAATTAAATTCCAGAACTGTCATTTTAAAATTAGGGGCATTACATCCACCCAGAGGTTGGAGAGATATAATAATTGCAATTAACCCTGACCAAACAGACACGATTGTAGGGGTCCTCCCTCGCCTTCCCATAAGCCCTTTTGCAAAGGGATAAAGATGAGCCAAGACCCGGAAGCTAAAGAACACCCCTCCTGTCAAACGTGAGAAAGAATAAGAGGAGGGAGAATTATAGTTTGATTCGGATTCATTTTGGTTTAACCCAGATAATTATTAAATTTTTTATTTTTTATTTTTTTAAATGTAAGGACATTTATCGCTTTAACAATGCGCCGCATTCGTGGTGAGTATAAGTTTTCTACTCATCGGTGAGTAGACAAGTATTGTCCATATATTTTTACATAAAATGTATAAAACAATGGCTGAAGCTAAAAAAAATTTAGTCTAATTTTTTTTTGTAAATCTATTACGACACATCAGATTTACACAATATATATATATATATATATATATATATATATATAGACAACCATTGGAGATGCCTTGATGGAATGAGAAAGAAAAAGGAGAGAGAAAATATGCTGATGTGGCTATGTAAAAGGGTTATGCAAAATACACAACAATTTTACATATTGGTGAGGTGGCAATGTGATCTTAATATATTCCTAGAGATAAAAAAGTTTTACACATCATGTATAATTTACATAAAAGGATTTTTTAACACACATGCTGAAAATGTTATAAACAGCGGCCACATAAGCAAAGTCCTCTTGTGCAATTAATTATAATTGTTACTTGAAGGTAGGGACGGAGCCAGCTTGGGCCAAGGCTGGCCATTAATTTTTTTACATATAGGTATAGAATTTATAAATTATTACTTTGTGCCTCTCTGAATTTTTTTCCTTTGTAAAACACCCTTGGGCTTGAATTTTTTTTATACATATAGGCATATAATTTATTAAGTATTACTTTGTGCCCCTAAAATAAAATTCTAGCTCCGTCTTTACTTTGAAAAAAGCTTAAATACTCTTGGTATAGTTATGACATGGTATCAGACACTAATTAAACACAAACACATAAACAAAAATGCATCTATTTTGGTAGATCCCTATAATGTATATAGGGGTGGAAATTTTCAACCCGACTCGACAACAAGCCTCGAACATGATACAAGATAATCGAATTTGTGTTGACCTTAAACGGATTAACACGATTAACCTGTGTAACTTATTTATACCCGTTTAACTCAACGTGTCATAATTGTGAATATGATGACCTGTGTAATATGTTATTTGTTTAGACCCAATTATTATGGATAATTAAGTCATTTTAATATAAATCTTAACTACACTCTATGATTTTTACTTAAACATTTGTATTATATCTACTTGGCTATGGGTATGAGCTAAGTCGATTTGCGTTCCGAGCGCGAATTTTCGAATTGAGAGCGGATTCGGCAGGAATTCGCGAACTTGTTTTTGGAAATTCGCGAATTCATTTTGAGAATTCGCGAACTCATGTTTTGGAATGCTGATTCAAATCATTCCCATTCAACATGTACTGTCCAAGCATCACCAATGCAAAAAATCACCGTCTCTTTCATGAAATCTGACCTAGCTCCTCCATCTCTGACAAAAAATAAGAAAGAAGAAATCAATTTTTTAAGAAGAAATCAAACCTTTCGATGCTTGACCTTAAGATTTAAGAGAGATACAAAGTGACCAGATCCATGAAAGTGATAGAATGAGTTGCGTGACTGGCATAAAGTGGGATGGTGCTGCTGGTGAATTATGCTATGGTCACGGTGGGGTTGATTTAAAGAAGAGAACTTTGCCTATGGTTTTAGTTTCAGGTTTTAGGATAAGGAAACCAGTTATACTAGTACATTGGATAAAGTTTTTTTTGGATGATGGGTTGAGAACAATTATACTACATTGGGCCTTATTAATGAAATAATGCTTATTGGGCCGAATTTAGAATAATAAGGGTTAAACTTTTAGATGTAGAATAATACTCCTTATATGGGTTTTAAAATTAAAGAGCTTGAATATATATATATATATATAGACGCTCTCGAGATGTTCCCGCTCTCGAGCATTTTGGATATTGGCGCTCTCGCGCTCCCGTTCCCGCTCCTGAATTATGTGACTTAAGGTATGAGATATTTTTATTCTTTCTTTGAAAATTTTGGTTAATTGAGAATTATATATATATATATTTGTATGAGTAATGCTACTATGAGGTTTCCCTCATAAGTTTCTCATGAACTCTCCCTTTTTTTGTCATGATTCTGTACAAATATTGGACCACGAACTTAACTCATTGATAGAGGACTAAACGAGGATTATATAGTTAAAATTTTATTCAAAAATTCATAAACAATAGATCACACGAGTCGGTCAAAATTAATAATGTAATTTAAACAAGAAAAAGAGAGTCAAATTTTGCCCAACTCGTTTAATCTACTGTTAAAGAATTTTTGAATGAAATTTTAACTATATAATCCTTGTTTAGTCCTCTTTTTAATGAGTTGAATTCATGCTTCAATATTTGTACATAATCATGACAAAAAAAGAGAGCTTATGAGGGAGACCTCATAGTAGTATTACTCTTTTAGTATTTATTGATTGATTGAGTATGTCTCGTTTTTTAGTAAATAAGTTAACACGTGTAATCTTTTTAATAAACATATTGGGCTAGTGTTGAGAATCTAACACAATTACTAAAATTGTCAATGAACATACCTTTAGGCTTTGTTTAGATACATAGGAGAGAAAATAAAAGAAATGATAATATTAGTTAAAGAAAAGAAAGGATAGCGGAAGATGTAAGAAATTTTTTTTTTCTATTATGGAAAGATTTTCTCACACTCCAAAAACCACCTCTTTCCAACAAAATCGCCACCTCGCTCGATTTCACGACCTTTTCCACCACCACCGCCACATCTGCGATCCCGAACATCGCTATTGACTATTCTACCACCAAGATCTATAACACCACCACCATTTTCCTCTACTAGCACTAATCCTCTTACTCTAACACCAATGCTTCGAGCAATATGGACGCCTGGTTGGAAATGTGGGTACTCATTAAAACTACTCACACGTGAATGCTTCCGGACCTTTTACCAGACACCGATGGGCCTCCAAAGTGAAGTGGCCTGCCTCAGCCATAGTTTGGGGCAGCACCACCTATTCCACCGCCCATGATGGGCGGAACCACCATAGACGGTGGTGGACCCATTAGGTCACTTCGACACTCTCGGTAGGAGTGAGGATCGACATATCTTTGGTCGTAATGGTTCAACATGTTCGTCGTGGTAAAGATGCAAGAAATTTTCTTTTCTATTATGGAAAGATTTTCTTACATTCCAAAAACCACCTTTTTCATTCTCTCTCACTCCTATTTATAGAAGTTTACATTTTACCCAAAACTTCCTTCGTGGTTTCCAAGTTGGGAGTCGATGAGCTGGATTTCTTCTCCTAGACTGTGTGGCTTGGAGGCTTGCTTCTATTATGGATGTGGTTGGGCCAATGGGTCGGATCGAATCTAGCCCGATGAAGATATTGGACTTTTCACCTTGGGCCGTATTTGGCCGTTGAAGTTATTGGACCCTTCAATAGCAATAATCTCTATTTATGTTTGGATAGATAGAAGATAAAAGAAAAGAAATGATAGTATTCTTGTTTGGATATAATGGAGGGGAGAAAAGAAGAGAAATGATAATAATGAAATTACTATCATATTTTTTTAAATAGAAGGGATATGAGTGGAATAATAATTTTCTCTTTTTAATTGTTGAAGACAGTGTCGAGATTATATTACTTAAACATTATAGTGTCGAGATTATATTACTTAAACATTATTATTTCTCTCCCTATGTTTTCATTTTTGAAGAGATAGGAAATAAGGGATAAAGAAGGATAACTATACCTCCTTATCTCTCACTATCCTTTCTTTTTTCTCATTTTAAACCATCCAAATACACTTAAATCCTATATTTTTTATTTTATTTTTATTTCCTTATACCTCCAAATCATCACATCCAAACGCACTTTTAGATTAACAGGATACTAATAAGATTGACGCCTTTAAGGGTGTGTTTGGTAGGGTTGATTTGGAGGGATATGAAGAGAAAAGAAAAGAGAGGACAGTGTGAGAGTGTGTTTAGGTAACTGGAGAGAAAAGAGAAGATATGAAGAGATAGGGAGGGATACTATCCCTTATAAGCTTTCTCTCCCATTTTGAGAGATAGGGAGAGATAGGGAGGGATAGTAAGTTATAAATTCTTAATACCAAAAATACCCTCCACAAATCAATATAAAGAAAAGTTATTCCATTTATGTCCTAATTTTGTTTTCATCCATTATTTTTATTTTTATTCTTTTTTCCTTTTTACTTTTGTTTTTACCCATTGCATTGAACTATCACAAAGAAACATTCCAAATATCCTATGTGAGATTTTGGAAATGGATAATATGTGAAGTGGTTATGAAAGGATAAGATAGTAATTTGGTCACTATCATTTCTTCTCTTTTATCTCCTCTATCTCATCCAAACAACAATAATTATCATTTCTTTTCTTTTCTCCCCTATCTATCCAAACACGAATTAAAATTATTATTATCCTTACTTTTCTCTCCTAACTAATACTATCATTTCTTTTCTCTAAACACACCCTAAGTATTTAATTAGTGTGCAATACCACTTTTGCTCCGGAGGTTATATTTGTATTTTCATTCATCGAATACTTGCGTTTCCACTTTCCATATCCCTGGTTCTTTATAAATATATGAAGGCTTAAGTGAAAAGTGAAGTGATCAGCAACTGTTGTCTTCGGTCCTTGCACCAGAGAGTAAGATCTAGAGAGAGATAGAATGAAGTTTCAGATAGAGGACGTGACGGTGTACTTCCCGTACGATAACATATACCCTGAACAATACTCATACATGGTGGAACTGAAACGAGCCCTAGATGCCAAAGGCCATTGTCTTCTCGAGATGCCTACTGGCACAGGCAAGACCATCGCACTCCTCTCTCTCATCACCAGTTACACACTCTCCAAACCCTCCAACCCCCTCAAGCTTCTCTACTGCACTCGCACCGTCCACGAGATGGAGAAAACCCTAGCCGAACTCCGTCTCCTCCATCAGTACCAACTCAACCACCTCGGCCCCTCCGCTCGCATCCTCGCCCTCGGTCTCTCCTCTCGCAAGAACCTCTGCATCAATCCCTCCGTCGTCTCCGCCGAGAATCGCGACTCCGTCGATGCAGGTTGCCGCCAGCTCACCGCCAGTTGGGTTCGGGCCCTTGCAATTGAGAACCCTAATATTCCGACGTGCTCCTTCTTTGAGAACTATGAAAAAGCCGCCTCCGATGCAGTCTTGCCCCCTGGGGTCTACACATTGCAGGTTCTTCCAATCTTTCTGAATTCGTAGCCAAAAAAACTTCAATTATTATATAATTTTCACATATTATTATTCGGTAGTAGTATGAACAAGAATGCATATTCCCTGATTCGTTTTTTTCTTCTTTTTGGCAATTTTATTAATTTTTTTTGTTGATACAAAAATCTGCGCGCTCCGGAGCCGGTGATGATTCCTGCAAGACAAACCGGCGTGGTGCCCGCGGGTGCACTCCGATGGTCGAGTTAGTACTTGAGGATTGAATATCCGATAAAAAGGATTAAATATGGGATTTATGACGTACCTTTTTAGGTTGACTGATGACTTCTTTTATAGAAGCATTAATAGTAGTAGTCTTCTGTCATGAAACAAATTTATTTTCCTTGTCCATTATATATTGTAAGAGTCATTGGAGAGGGTAGTAGTTGTTATTTCTAACTCCTTATCTATACCATTTGACTCTCCATGTCACTTGGAATTCTTATCTAGTCGAATATTCCGTATCAGTGGCCCCCCATTCCCGAAATCTTGCTTGTCAAGCATCGGGAATGCCAAGTCCTTCCAAGCTAAGCATGTTTGATGATAACTTTCTTGCCCCCTTTAATAAGGGAGTGGATTTGCTCGAGCTTTGTGAGCTCACCCTTTAATAGGGGAGTGGATTTGCTCGAGCTTTGTGAGCTCACCCTTTAATAAAAGAGTAGTTAACCCCTCGTCTCTTTACCGAGGGAAGAAGATGAAGTTGACTTTTCGTTTCTTTACGGGGAAAAAGATGTAGGCTCAATGAGGGTGACCCTTTTAATACGGGAGGTAGTCGTCTCGTCCCTCTAGTAAACGAAGGAAGCTTGAATTATCTCACCGTCCCTTTAATGAGGAAACCTTTAATAAGGTATAGTCAGCCTCTCGTCCCTTTAATAAGGGGGCCTTTTAATACAAGACACGTTGATTTGATCCATTTTAGTACGGGGAACGAAAATTATGAACTTTAATCAGTCCAGACCCTTATTATACGGGGTACTTTAATGTCAATCCCTTATAATATAGGGATGATGATTGCAGAATTCATTCAATTTGAGCCTTATAGTACGGGGCACTTTAATAATACTGGGATGAGGATTACGGGATTCATCCAGCCCGAGCCCTTATAGTACGGGACACTTTAATGTCAATCCCTTATCATATAGGGATGGGGATTACGGGATGCATTCAGCTCGAGCCCTTATAGTACGGGGCACTTTAATGTCAATCCCTTATAATACAGGGATGGAGATTACGAGATTCATTCAGCCCGTGCCCTTATAGTACGGGGCACTTTAATGTCAATCCCTTGTAATATAGGGATGAAGATTACGAGATTCATTCAGCCCGGGCCCTTATAGTACGGGACACTTTAATGTCAATCCCTTATAATACAGGAATGAAGATTACGGGATTCATTCAGTCCGGGCTCTTATAGTACGGGGCAATTTAATATCAATCTTTTTTAGTACGGGATGACAATTATGAGCTCCACTCAACAAGGAAGGTTCGTAGTAATTTTGAACTTTACTTAGCTTTCCCTTTTGATAAAGGGGGTGTACTAGTTTTGAGCTTTACTTGGCTCACCCCTTTGATAATGGTTATCTCCAGACATTAGCTTAATTACCACCACCATCTGTCACCTTCTTTTTTTCTTTTTGCTATTTTCTTTTTAAAGTATCCAGGTCATTGAGATTAGCCTTGATGAGCTTCAATTTCTGAGAAACCTTGAACACGAGGAAAACTCTTGAAATCAGTGCTCCAAATTCCTCATATTCAATTCAAAAGTAAAACATTTGGGAGCCCTTCTACATGGCGAGTTGTACTCATGTCTTAGTACGGATGGGCAATGACAGAAATGCCTCACAGGGAAAATCAGTATCAGAGTGAGTGAGGGTATTCAGATTCCATGCTTCACTTGTGAGAGCTCCATTTAGCTTCCGAAATATAATATCATAACTCAGCCCGTTGTCATCCATCAAAGGCGAGGTATTGCCCAGTGAACATCAGATCCTCAAGTTCAGCCTCTATTATATAATAATTGAAATGTTACTCCATTTGTACACATCGACCATTACTAACTTCATTTCTTTAAAATAGAAACCTTGCTGCATTTAAGTTCCCTAAGACAGTCAAAGGGTGTTGCAGGAAAAACCTGAATAGTATGTTAGAGGTTCTCCAAAGAAACTGCTTCCCTACTGAAGCAATTAAACCATAGACAACAGAGAACAAGAAGTCATTTTTGCCAATAACAGAAACATAGTTTATAGCCTGATTAGATCTATTGATTATTGCAACAAAAAACTAAAGGCTTCCAAGTGATCATCCTGGCCCTCTCTGATGGAAAAATAATAATAATATAATAATTGTTATGGACAAGGTCCAGTTGCTAACATATGACCTTAGCCACAGCATTGTTGACATCGAAATTAAGCTTTGCATGTTGTGGTATAAGAAACTTCAAAAATAGTAAAGATAGAAGTAAAAGCTCACAAGTTTTTTTTACTACAAGATAGCATAAATACTGGAGGTCATATATTTCATTGTTGTGAAATACTATGCACTTTTTGTAAATATATATATATATATATATATTCTAGAATGGAAATTATTTATTTGTTTTATTTTATGTAGCCATACCTGTAGAGGCCTCTTCATATGTACTCAGTTTTGCAAAAGATGTCATGCATTCCTTCTCCTTATTGCGTATAGCTTCATCAAAGAAAAAAACTAGAACTCGTAGTGAAGCTGACCAAACACTATTTTTTTCTTCAATATTGTCAGAAGGAATATGAACAAAATTGTTAAATTTGTTAGCATCACAAGAGATGGAAACAAACTCGGAGTGCTGTTGAGTTGAAAGCTTATTCTCTCTCTCCTAACCACTTTGTATGAGTTTTGATTTCAGTAGTTGTTCTCCTGGATACTTTGTTCCATCCTAACAATATAGGCCATGATGAATACAATTGTTTTTTCTGCATATGAAATAGTATTGGTGCTGATGTTCCTGAAGATCCTCTATCCTTATTTTCTTCAGTCATCTTGTTATGATGATGTATAGAAACATCATGACAATTCAAATACTAAATAATCTAAAAGATCCAAGGAAGTACATAGGACATAGCGCATGAATATTGAAAAACGTAGAAAAACATTATGGTCAATAGACCTAAATTGGGTTTATGAATTGTGACTGGTAAACTTCTAGTAGAATTCTATTCCATAATCTCTATTAATGATTTAATCATTAAAATAAATAATGGTAACCATTCCTTTATCATCAAAATACTCATTCAAACAAAAATAGACTTTGATATCAATGGTAGGCAATCCAATAAAATTTATATTGTACTACATAAATTTTAAGAGTAAGCATACCTATTTTATTGACAATAGATACTTCTTTAGAAATTAATTAATTTCTAAAGTGGTGCGAAATTCTTTAGCAACGGTTTAATAGACTATAAGATAATGACAAAAAAAGTGCTCCTTTAATTTGTAATAAAGGACTTGAAATGTCATAGCTAAGTGTGTGAAATACAATCACATCACTCGCTTGAAAGTTGAAACTCATAGAGAATCTTATTTTACAGAGAAATTATTGTGAACAAAGGTGTATACCACAACAAAAGTGTTGGACAGGCTAACTCAATTAGAGAAATAAATGAATAGTCTAACCAACAAGAAAACAAAGTCCACCCACTAGCGGAAAGATAAGTCTTTTTGAAAAGCAATGGTTTTCCATCATGCTGTCTCAATGCTCACCTTTGGTATTAGATTCAAACTTTGGATATTAACATGTTTTAAAATAAAACACTAACATTGCACACTAATAAAAGTGAACTAATTTTTTTTATCTGTTTTATATACAGAGTACTAAAGGTGCCCTTCTAAATGATTTAAACATCTCTCAGATGCTGAAGGATTTACAAGTCCAGAGAATAATTTTATTGGGTCAAGGAATTTAGCTAGCAGTTGATGTATTGACCATGATCAATATATTCAGACCTTTAATAACACCAACAGAGAAGAAAAATTCAAGACTTACCCATAATTTACAATCAGCAAGTTGTGGCCAATGGAAAAATCCGAAGGACTTTGAATGGCTCGTCAATGATACAGTGTGATGCCCCCATGGAGCAAGCTCCCACGTGTCATTGAAGGATAGAAATATAAATTCAAAAGGCATTGTGATACTTGAATGATCGCCAGCTAAATTGAGAGAGATTTGAAAGGGGCTCCATAGAGATTGTTGTTCCTGAACGAAACAAACTCGAATTTGGTCTGGGAAGCGGATTTTCATAAGAGGATCTTGATCAAGAGGTCGCGGTAGCCGGAGATGGCGTGTGATGGCAGTCATCATCCATTGAGGATATTTATTTCATTGCCAGTATATGTGATGGGTAAGATTGGTGTAGAGTCTTAACGAGCAAAGAAAATACTATAAGAAGTACTATTGTAATAGTAATATATGTGTGGAACCATGTTGCGTGTAAACCAATTTATGGGGATTAGTACTCGTTCTCACAGACGGCGCCAACTGTTGATGCAAAAATTTGCACGCTTTGGAGCCGGTGATGATTCCTGCAAGACAAGAGAGAAGTGATGACCGGCATGGTGCCCGCCGGGTGCACTCCGACGGTCAAGTTAGTACTTGACGATTGAATATCCGATAAAGGATTAAATATGGGATTTATGACGTACCTTTTTAGGTTGACTAATGACTTCTTTTATAGAAGCATTAATGGTAGTAGTCTTCTGTCATGAAACAAATTTATTTTCCTTGTCCATTACAGATTGTAAGAGTCATTGGAGAGGGTAGTAGTTGTTATTTTTAACTCCTTAAGTTTATCCATACCTTTTGAGTCTCCATGTCAATTGGAATTCTTATCTAGTCGAATATTCCGTATCACTTTTTATTTATTTTTTTTCATGCGAAATTTGTTTCTTTGTATCTTCTTCATATACTTTGTTTCCGGTAATCAAAACCTCTTTATGTTTATCTAGTGCATCAAATTGCTTAAGAGGAGCCTTAAATTATTCTGAAAATTGTGCATTGACATTCGCTTGTATTATTATTTTCTTGCACCACAATTTCTTACTTAAAATTCCAATGGATCTTCTCTTAATTTTCATTTAAAGGGAAAACTCTTAAATCCCATAATATTGCATATCTTGTAGGATTTGAGGGCGTTTGGGAAGGAAAAAGGGTGGTGCCCATACTTTTTAGCACGGCATATGGTGCAGTTTGCAAATGTGGTTGTTTATAGTTACCAATACTTGCTTGATCCTAAGGTTGCTGGGATTATATCAAAGGAAATGCAGAGAGAGTCAGTTGTGGTGTTTGATGAGGCACATAATATTGACAATGTGTGTATCGAAGCACTTAGCGTCAGTGTTAGGATGCAAACCCTTGAAGGGGCGACAAGAAATCTCAATAAGATCGCTCAGGAGATTGAAAGGTATATACATTTTTGTTCTAAACTAGTGCCTTTTTTTTGGGGATAAGTAATTGTTCTAAACTACTGTTATCTGTTTGTTAAAGTTAATTTGGGGTGTTTATCTTCTGAAACTTTTGATCCTCAGTAGATCATTTTGTACGCTTGTCTCAATGTTTTCACAACATGGCCACAGGAATGGTGTTTTTAAAATTAGAGGGGCTTTGCTAAGTTTGTTCAAGCCATATTTTTTTTATTTATAAGTTTGTTCAAGCTATATGGAACTTAATAACAGAACCTGCAATAAAATTGAGGCTTACACCTTTTACCTTTGGTGGTCCCAGTCACTCTCCTGGTTAATTTCCACTTGAAATGCTGTTCAGGACCAAGAGTAACTAGTGGAGGATTATACTGTCATGCAGTTCTCTTTCTCTCTCTTTCCATATCTGTCTGTTTGTCACTCTCTATGTATTCATCTATCTCTTTCTCACTCTCTTCCCCACCCCCCTTCTTCTTCAATAAAGTTCAATACATATTTTACTTCATTTGAAATGGTAGGAAGGTTCAAGGCCACCGATGCAGGTAGACTGCGGGCTGAATATAACCGGCTTGTTGAGGGTTTGGCACAGAGAGGAAACCTACCTTGTATGTGGGATTCTCATGCACAGATAATTTGTTAATATTATGTTTTTTCTAAAACAATATCCTCATTTGTCATGAATTCTACACTTTCTCCTTTGCAGCTACAGACACCTGGCTCTCAAATCCTGCCTTACCTGACGATATTTTAAAGGAAGCAGTGCCTGGTAATATACGCAGGGTGGAGCATTTCCTTGCTGTTTTGCGCAGATTAGTCCAGTATCTTAAAGGGCGTCTTCAAGCTGAGAATGTTGAAAAGGAGGGACCTGTTGCCTTTGTTGCTTCCCTAAACACCCAGGCTGGAATCGACCAGAAAATGTTGAAATTTTTCTACGATCGTCTGCACTCCCTCATGTTGACTCTAGAGATCACAAACACGGATGATTTTTTACATATCCAAACAATATGTGACTTTGCAACTCTCGTGGGAACATACACTCGGGGTTTCTCAATTATAATTGAACCATATGATGAGAGAATGCCAAATATTCCGGATCCTGTACTGCAGGTTTGCTTATGTTAGAATTTTTCTGTTTTATATCCATAAAATAAGTGAGACACTGGTAGATTTACATTAATCATAAATGGAATAGCAGCATTATGGCTGGTCTGACACCATGGATTATCAATCGCATCAATAAGTCATAGTTTTTCTATGATCAGAATCATATCTTGAGACAAATCTGCATGGGTTATAATGTATTTATATTATCCAAATCAATGAGACTAATGCTTTGATGTTTCAATGATTTTATTTTTGATGTTTGTCTTTGTTTGGAGTCTTTTGGACATCATGCCATTAGTGCTGTCTGTCCACCTCCTTTGTTTTCTGCATTAACACAAAAGTGCTGTGGGAGTCTCCAATTAATAGATCTGATCTTATAATATGCAATGTGGATGCTTTAATATTTTTTTTTTGCCTCTTTTTTTATTTTTTTATCCTACTCAACCGATCTATTTTATGAACATTTATTTATTTTCATATTTCATCCCAGCTTTGTTGTCACGACGCTTCCCTTGCCATAAAGCCAGTGTTTGAAAGGTTCCAGTCAGTTGTGATTACTTCTGGAACTCTAAGCCCAATTGAACTCTACCCCCGTCTTCTTAATTTCAATCCAGTAGTTAGCCGAAGCTTTACGATGTCTTTATCAAGGGATTGCATATGCCCAATGGTCCTCACTCGTGGGAGGTAATAATTCAACTTATATCTGTTTCTTTGTTTATATGATATTTTGGGTAATTTAAAATTCCTATTACTGTGATTTTTGTTATTAATTGTTTGATTCAGAGATATTTATTCCATTAGGTTATTTAATTTGTTATTGTGTTACTGTATTGAATATCGTTTTGGCTTCCTCTTTCAGTGATCAACTTCCGGTTAGTACAAAACATGATCTGAGAAGTGATGATGGTGTGGTAAGAAATTATGGGAGGCTTTTGCTGGAGATGGTCTCTGTTGTCCCAGATGGGGTCGTGTGTTTCTTTGTCAGTTACTCATACATGGATTCAATCGTCAATAGGTGGAATGAATTGGACATCTTGAAGGTGATAATATATTGCTTATCATATTGTAGAAATTATCGATAGAAATTATTCTCTTCTTTTTTACTTCTTTCCCATCAAGGTTCCTTACTTTATTATGCTCTTTCTTAAAGCAACTTGGTGGAAATTTGTACAATTTATGACGTCCTTGGGATTTTGGTAAATGATAAAAAAATCATGTGAATATTTCCCATTGACAATTCTGCAGAATATTGCCATTTTTTGTTTGCTCTTGTTCAGTTTGCTTAATTTTGAATTGTTGATAACCATTCTACAGTTTGCATATTTAAATCAGGTCGATTGTTGATGCTTTCTTGCACTCACTTTCCTTGAAAATAATTTTGTTTGTTAAAAACCCTTCCTGCAGGAAATAATGCAACATAAGCTTGTATTCATTGAGACTCAGGATGTGGTGGAGACCACATTGGCTCTGGACAACTACCGGAAAGCTTGTGATTGTGGGAGAGGTGCAGTATTTTTCTCAGTTGCCAGGTAGCTCTTCTCCGATCTTAGACTGTTCAAATTCAACAGTTTATATATATATATATATATATATATATATATTTTTTTTTTCCTTCATAAAGATCATTGAAATTACGTTATCGATTCAACTGAAAGTTGTTTAGATTTAGACTGGAAAGGGGAGTTTTCAAGTATTGTTGGCAAAACAAAGTTTGTTTCTTTTCTCGATTTTTTTATTATATCTATTATTTGGTGGTTGGAAAGTTAACAAAGTTGTTTTAGTTAGTGTGAGAATTTTTAACTCTTTAAGAGTTCAACAACTCTATTTATTAATTTTATGAAGAGAAAACGAGTATAATATACTTGAACATCAATATGATTGCTTCAATCTAGAATGGCTTTCTAGAATCTCCAAACTAGTTATAGTGTGTTACTGTAGCAAATGAAGCCCTCAAAACCAAATCTTTTCAGCCATTGAACACTGTTATTGTAATTTTTATTATGTTTGTAAACTATAAGACTCGGACTATATACTCTAACATCTGAACAATTTGCTTTTCTTTCAAATAACGTGTGCATGCTTTTAACTGTAGTATATTTTTATTAAAGAAAGCAGTATATAATGTCAATTTGAAACAAAAAAGTGTAATTGTGTAGTAGATACTGGTACAGTAGAGTAGACTATCTCAATATTCTAAAAAAAACCTAGATGGAAAGTAAGTAGATAGATATGGCGTATAATGATATATATAGTAGCGAGGTAATACGGGACGAAAATAAATCCAAAATCATTTGGAGGAAACTTCTTTAGAGAGATAAATGTACAAGTTATTTGGTGAGATGATGATGACAAGTTAATTTCCTTATTCTTTCAGGGGGAAGGTTGCAGAAGGAATAGATTTTGATAGACATTATGGCAGGCTTGTTATCATGTTTGGTGTTCCTTTTCAGTACACATTAAGCAGGTGATTCGTTCTTAAATTGGTGGTTATGTTTTTACTGTTTCTAATCAAAATTGTGAAATTATGCTTTTTATACTTGATATGGTCTTACATTTGTAAAATTCACAGAATACTGAATGCGAGGTTGGAATATTTACGGGAGACTTTCCAAATTAAGGAAGGAGACTTTCTTACTTTCGATGCTTTGGTATTTCTCAACTGCATTTGTGTCATTTGAAGAAATTTGCATTTCTTTCTCCATATTAAGATAATATTTTTCTTAACTACGAGCCTCGGTAATGGTACTATACTGAAGCAGAGACAAGCTGCTCAATGTGTTGGACGAGTGATCCGTTCGAAGGCAGATTACGGGATGATGATTTTTGCTGACAAAAGGTCTGTTTTCGCTTATTAAATGTCATCAAAATTTCTTCAATTTATCTCATTCAAATGCAATGCCGAAGCTTTACAAACTACGTAAGTTGGCCCGGTAGTGTGATTGAATTATTAGAAGTTCAATTTATTGTAGTGTGGTAATTCTTGTATTTGTGCTTTTAGTCTAGAATTTGTATTCTAAGGTTGACCTATTCTCTGCCGAAATGAGAGTTTAATTTTGTTAGCTTGATCTGTCAATAAAAATTATATTAAACCTCATTTAAATTACAGCCTGATGGAAAGTTGTAAAATTAGTTGATCGAGCAATTAATAATTGTCATTATTTTCCAGGAACAACATATTGTTAAGGTCAATGAAAAAAACTATATACAATATCATGTAATTGAAGTTCAGTGTTGTAATATATGCCACTATTAATGGTTATAAGAAGTGGTCTAGTGTTGGTATTCATGTGCATACATGTAGGAAGGAAGAAGCTTAAGGTTGTAAGAGCCTAGAGCTTAGCAAGGTGGTTCTTGTATTACACTCTTATGTTATCTGTAGCCAAACTAGCCATTCTGTTCATTTGCCGCGATGACCAGAGAATTGCAAATTTACAATGAACCATGCATTTGGCATTAAAATTACTAACTTATCAATTTGAGACAATTATGCTTCTTTTATTCTATAATGATTGACATGTGGTCTCTGGATGGACAATAAGTGCAGGTACAGTCGCCATGACAAACGCTCTAAATTGCCAGGATGGATACTGTCATATTTACGTGACGCACACCTGAATTTGAGTACTGACATGGCTGTGTATATAGCACGAGAGGTGTGATCTTATTGCTTTTTCAGTTATTTCATTCATTTTACGAAGTACACCTACAATTATTTGTTAGACACACATAAAGAACAAGAAGAGGAATATATTTGGATATCTATTGCAACTGATTCAAATATGATCTGCAAAGGTTAGTAATGAACTACTAGGAGATGGTTCTTTCTGGTAATTTTTGTGGAATTTTCTGAATTGCTAAAAAACCAAAGAGGTTGAATGATGTTGGTGGATTCCAAGTGTAGAACTAGTGCATAGTTTTTGAACTCACTTTTTGTTTGCAGTTTTTACGGAAGATGGCTCAACCGTATGACAAGAATGGTGGGAACGGTATTAAAACTCTATTGTCACAAGAAGACTTAGAGAAGATGGGCAATGGCAATGTTGATGAAATGTTGTTTTAAGATTTGACTCTTACCTTATGGCAATGTCTATCCGATGGTTGGTTGATTTGTTTACCAATACTTCATGTTGTCCACAAAATGGAGTTGATTGGCCGAAGTAGCTGTTCTCGGCGCACTTGTTTGTTTTAAAAGGAACCAATACGAGAAGATTGAAATTTGCTGGGTGGTGCATCTCTGGGGAAACTCTTTCAAACATTTAGTGGTTTTTATGCTTAATTGACAATGTTATGGCTTCCTAGTGAGATTGCAAACATTTTAAATTTTTTTGTTTATCTTTTCTGCTCTATTGACAATGTTATGGCTTCATACTATGACACTTGTATCTTTTCTCCTTGGGGACTTGTATTTTATTTATTTATTTATTTGCCCTATTTTACAGGTTGTGTAACCTATGTAACTTCTGACTTTGATTTGAAATTATTATTACAGTATATGATAAAAGTGATGATAGCTACAGTATATAAAGTACAAATAGATTTTGTGGATCAAGCAATTAGGGATTTTGTTTCAGCATTGGCAAGACGTTGCCAATTTGGCACCGCAAAGCAAGTGGATATCCTATTAAAACCCGTTACCACTTATTGAGGATCGTCTATGTTCAAATTAATTTGTGTATTTTACATATTTTAAATTCAAAATGTGACAAATGTCATTCTATCATGGTGCTACATTAGTGGTAAAAAAGAGGTTCTTGCTCACTTTGAGAAGGCAAGTATTGATTTTATTTTTATTTTTATTTTTTGAAAGTTAAAACAATTACACACATACTCTATCTCCACCGAAACTCGAACCCAATCTTCCTTTTGGAAAGAAGGGGTGATACGACTAAGCCAGTTGGTCCTTTGGTGCAAGTATTGATCTTTCACAATCGAGTTGGAGCGTGTTCCAATCTTTCCATGTGCATGGTCTTGCAAAGCGGTTATGACTGCTTACGTGTTTGCGCTGATATAGCTATTGAAACACTGTACATAATGGGAGAGTTTGAATGGGTGGTGTTTAGCCAGATAACATCCAAGGAAAGGAATAGGATGAATTGGTCGGTCCTCAGCTTATCTGTGTGTAAGCAACCTGAATACTTTTTATCAAGTTGATGAAAAAAAAAAAAAGATTATAGTAAATGACAAAATGACAAAATTCATATTCTCTAAGTTCTCATCCTCACAATTATTGATAACATCTGCAGTTTTCATCAACCAAAGAATGTGTTAAGAGATAATTTGAGAAAAAGGACGGTCAAACTTGTAACCAGTCTCAGCTCAGCGGGACGAGAAAGGTTCCCAACAGCAACAACAAAGGCATCAAGTTTTGTGTCAAACCAACAATGGAAGTCGAAGTTGCAGCGTTGTCAGTTGTGAAGCTACCTCCAGTGGTTTTTGTGCTTAAAACAACCACCACCCAGTCGCCTTCCGAACCAATCCCAGCTCCAGTGTAAGTGCTGTCATTGAGATATTGCGAGTATTGGGACTCTGTATAATTTGTGAGCACAAGGCTTGGGACCAGGTTGGGAACACAAACAGGCATTACTACACCGTCTCTTGTGTCAGTGATATTTAGACTACATTTGGCTAATAGGTCCGGGTAGTTGGAGAACTGAGGTTCAGTTCCGGGAACAGTGTCTGCTCCGGTAGTATTGGAACATGGTTGATTCTTGAACTGGTTTGCTATTTCATCTGCAAAACAGTCTGCATTGCTGTTCTCACCAAGGGAGGTGAGGTTTAAGGATGTTCGATAGCCATTTAGACTTTGAAGTAGATTCTCCTCCTCATCTGCATTATCATCCAGAACTTCTAAAGAAATTAATACGAGTGATAAAGTGGAGAAAAATGAAGACACATATTGAAGGTAATACTTCAGTAAGAATTGTTTAGCAACTATTATAAACTAACAGGTATTTTTTGTTCTCAAAGGCTACCATTGAGGCGTGACGCCATTTCCTTGAAGAAATTTTGTCTCTCTCCATTTTGAGGGCCTAGCAAAGCAAGAAGATGAATTTCTTGTGGAAGGTCATTTGCAAAAATATATGTTACATTTTATTTAAAATAAATTAAATTAAATTTTCTTGAAAACAGCTAGCAGAATTGTTTTCTTGATTTTGGTCATTGTGAAGAGAAGAATGTAGCAAGGGTCATATTATGATTTTCTCTAGTCACAGGAACACATAAAAAGCATTTCATAACAGTATTATTGTGCTTATAACACTTAGCTAATATTAGATCAAGTCCTCAAGAATGTTTATATGCATTTTGAGAATATATGAATAGAGGCAAAGATGGCGTAGTCACGTAGTGCTACTAAACCACATGAATCTCATTAACAATATTCAGCAATGAGCCATCCACAATCCTCAGAAGCCTTTCTTGAAGGATTTTTGTTAAATTAGAGTACAAGATTCAGGATTTGGCAAATTATTGTTTCAACATAACTTGTGAAAAAGAAGTTCTCTCTTTGTATTTGTGCTTTACTGTAACTTAAATGTGGCGAAATTAGCTTTTTGGTACAAAGCATATGTAAAGACGGGAAGGATCTACTTTTAAGTTTAAGCCCCACAACGAAGAAGATATTCACTGATTAGAACAGAACAAATTCACAATTTTCCTTAAAATGTTACAAGAGAAAGAGATCTAATGAATATTGTTGCTTACATTTATTTTCTGGTCATTTAGAGTGAAATGAGCCATGGTTGTTGAGAAATTGGCTGCTGATGGTTGTAGATCATGATGCAATAATAACTCTTGGTTAAAGGCTCTGCTTTGATGATTTCTTTGTTCTTAAACACATTCGTAGGCCTTCGGGCTACAATCGGCCTAGGATCCTAGAAACGACTATTAGCAACACAATTTGGGAATTAAATTTGCAAGAACTCAAGATTAGTATCTCAAACATAACTGCTAAGATTGTTTAATTAAAGGGTTCAAACATGTTTTTCTATTTATTAATTATTTGTGAATTAAACTTTTTATGTGTAATGTGTCTTGGATTTAGTTGTGAAACAACAAGACTGTGCTTCTCATGTATAAAAAATATTTTCAGTGATTTTCCCTAGCTTTAACGTCTCATCTATAGAAGTTGGCCTAAAGCCCTAATTTTTTCACTGCCTTCCTAGATCCATTCCTCATTAACTTCGAATCATGCTAAATATGATTAAATCCAACATCAAACAACAGCAAAAGATGCGAAAAACGAGCCGATACAGAACAAAATCTAGACAGATAAAACATGCATATTCCTCTTCAACATACATACCCTTTTTTTTTTTTTTTCGCATTCTGTTCAGATCTTCCTTTGATTAGATGTAAGAAACATATAAAGAATCGAAGCTTTTTTCTAGCTACTTATCCAAAGGGGAAAAAAAAGAAAAGAAAAAGGTGATTTCCAAAATACATATAGGTATTGTGCTAGCGTGCTACTACATCAGAAACATCCAGATGTATATAAATATGTGTAGCAAATATATATATATAGAGAGAGAGCATTTGAAAGATTTCTTACCTGAGGAATAGGCAGGATAAGAAAGCAGGAGAATGGATTGAATAAGGACATAGAGAAGAAGGTGATGTTTATGAAGAAATGCCATTTGCTATGAAATTGGATTACAGAGTCTCTGGTACTGGCCCCAAATTGACTATGTTAGAAGAGAGCCGGGAGAAGTACCTTCCTCAGTGGGATACTCTCTCTCTCTCTCTCTCTCTCTCTCTATCTATATATATATATATCTGTTGCGTGTACCCTTGGCTACATTTCTTACTCAAACTAACTTCACAAGCAAAGGGAGCCTGCGATGTACTCTCTATGATATTCCTTGATGTGGTGCTGTCAATTCACGTGTTTGGCACGCGGTCCTTCACTGCTTTGCTTCTTTTTGTGCATTGTTCTTGGTCCTCCTTGTATGGGTCGCAATTTCGTATAAGAAAAAATATGTAAATTAAATTAAAACTGACCTCGAGTTTAGAGCGAGTGGATTTAGTGCTGAACCCGTTCAATTATAAAGACCTCACCCAGTCAGTCACTTCTCCTATGTGTGTACGGGAAAAAAAAATTATAGAGACCTCACTCATCATCGAAAGGAGAATTATCTAAAGACCTCATTTCTCATTCAAATATGAGAATCATCACGAAACCTCACATTTGAGATTTTAAGCTGGCACTCTCTCTCTCTCCCTCTCTCTAATTGTAAATCTATTTATCCTCCTATATTGTAGTTCAAGAAAATATTTCATTTTACTACTCTAATTTTTTCGATAGTTTAATTAAAAACTCGTCTCAAATTAGGGACGGTGATGGTAATTATGGTATGGTTGATTTTTCAAAAAGAGTTGAATACAATTTCAGCGTCATTCTTACTCATTAGAGCATATCAAGATAAGGACACATCGTGTCTCAAAACTGGACACTTGAATCATAAATTTTCCATAAACATGCGCACTAATATGGAAAATCTAGTATATGAGGATAATAAATGTGATCACAAAATAAAATTGTCTTTACCTGAGCCAAATACAACCTCCAACTAATTAAGTAAATTAATGTTGTCAAAGAGAAATATGCATGCTTACTGTACAACATTAGCGGCAAACCCTTAGTCATGGGATCAACAATATATATTTGTGTACTAATGTGCTCAATAAACATTAATTGGTTCTAAATCCTCTATTTCACAATAAGGTATTAACGGTTATATTTTAGACCAATTTGAACTCTTGTTGTTTCTTTAATACAAAACTGTAGTGGAATTATTAACCTGAAGTCCAAAACTGATGTTTTATAATGCATGAAATGCAGCCTTATAACATGCAAATAAAATCTGCTTCCATCAATTATAATAAAAGTAAAATAATACTTGAGGTGGATTTGTATACTATCCTGACAACTAGCAAAGTCAGTTTTTTCCCCCACCCCAAACTTGTCGATCTTATTATAAAACATATGGTTCTTAATCATTTGCAGATACCTTATAAATTTCTTTGCCACTCACTATAGATTCTGTCACAGGGATAAATTCTGAACATAAATCTAGTGGCCTTGTGATGGCACTAAGCCAGAAATATGAACAACTTTTCTCTGAATTTCTAACTTAGCTCAGCTAACTCACACTTGCTACCTAGAACACACAGCAAGTAAAACACTCACACACACAAGTATAGTTGCAAGAATGTAAAGACAACACCCACGAATTTACAGAAGCACAAGGCTTCCAACCTTTTACTATTATTCACAAAATAGTATAAGGAAAGGCCTCAACCTGCAGAAACATACAAGAGTCTCTCACAACACAACTCTGTGTCTCACTCTCAATCTGCCCTCTCTACAGAACTCACATTAGCAATATATAGGTAAACTCTCAAAACCGCTCACAACTGCCCACTAAAGTGGTGGATGACACTCCCATCCACCCACAACTACCCAATAAAGTGGTGGATGACACCCCCATCCACCTAGGGTCATGTTGGCACCCACTAAGTGTGCCAACACTACATATGTAGTTGACAAGCCCAACTGCTAGCTTGTTGGCACGCTCTGCTCATGCCACTTGTCCACAGGAAGTTACACATTATCTGCCACCTTCTATATATCAGCATAGTGGAAGAAAACCGACTCTAACCACTTGTGTGTTGTCCCATCAAATTTGTGCCACATGCATGGGAAGTTACTCAGCACACCCCCACTCCCCATAATATATGCATATGAGTGGGAAGTTGGGAAGTTACTTAGCACACTAGTGGAAAGTATTAGTAACTTCCCCCAACCAACTGAGCCCACTTAGTGGTAAGTGTTAGTAACTTTCCCCCAACCAACTAAGCCCACTTAGTGGGAAGTGTAACTTCCCCCAACCACCTGAGCCCACTTAGCCATCTTCTGTAACCATGAGCCATGTCTAAGTCCCCTGAGCCAACCTTGCACGCTGAGCCTTGCTTACACCCACTGCCTTGTGCCCATGTCCCTGACTTAACTATGCCACATGTCCATGACTTGTATGGTCCATGCTTTAAGCAACACTTGAGCCAACCTTGTGAACTTAGCCCGTGCCAAGCCCACTAATCTGCGCCCACATATAAATGTCTCAAAGTGCACGACATCCAAATCGAGTGCCGTATGCGCCAACCATCTCTATGGACTTAAGGTACCTCCCATAAAGATCCCGAGCCAAAACTCCAAGCTTCACTTTTTCGTAATATTTACGAAAATGCCACTGGGCACCCCCAGTGCACGCTGACAGCATCCCATGGCTGTCAGGGGGCTTGTCAAGATCCCAACCCCGTAACAGATCCAAACTAGGATCACTGTGATATATGCCTAACTTTACAATAGCAAATGCTATATTATAGTTAACCATATGCAAAACCTGAGCATACATTAGGTTCTCTAAGGCGTAGAAAATGTCTTTTATCTAATACTGTTATAGATATTTTCTTGGTAATTGGATTACCAAATTTCTCAACCTTTTACAATGGGTGCAATTCTACATTTACAGTGTTATATTTCAACTACTTTCAGAACTTTATCTTAGTAGGTTCTCTGTGACAATCCAAAAATTTCATAAGATTCATTTAGGTGAAACTTAATGCCAATAAAGAGGCTTCACTAACACCTTCATCTCAAATATTTGAGACAAATTGTTTAATATCATGTAAAATAATGTCATAACTATCATTTACATTTAACGCAAAGATGAATTTTACTCCAATTAACTTTGAGAATAACTAAAGCCACACATTTACAGTTGTCAACTAAACTTCCCAGAGTTAATTAAATAATGCCTCAAAATAATGAACTCTAACTGGAATCAATATAACATGTAATAATCTTTCCTTTGGGCCAAAATTATCATATGTTAGTCTCCCACTGGTGAAATAATTTTCACCTTTGAAGCTAAATTAATCATAGAAAACATAATAACAACTTACACTCCTTTGGGCGTAGTGAGTTATCAATTGTGTCTTCTACACTAATTACCTCAATCCACTTAATTGGACAAACTCAATAACCCACCTTTGGGCTTGATCATTGCTTGTCTTTACTAAACGCCAACACAATTCTTAAACTTTAATAAAATAATAATTTTGCAACTAACTACAAATATCATTAAAATTTTCACGAGTGTGCCACTTTGGTGACTAAACACTCAATCAAACTTAATAACACTTGTGCTTAAAATTGCAAAATATGATTCAATTTTCCCGAATGAATCAAACATATATATATACAAATTATGCAATAATTTATAACATAAGGCACATACATAATTATGTATATAATTTTAATAACATCTATAATTTCATTAACTTATATGCTATGAACTTTAAATTAATCATTAATTATGCCATGTATATCATCAAAGATATAAAACATTCAACTAGTGATAATAATAGATATAGAAATGACATATTTATGAAAATTATTAAAGCACTAAATCAAATCTCAAGCCTTAAAATTTATGCATGCTATAGAATAAAGAATCTTATGTGTCATATAATGTAAGAAATATTTAGTAGAATCGTGTACGCTCTAATTAAGTTTAAGAAATTTCTAGTAGAATCGTGTATGCTCTAATTGAGTTTGCTATGGGTCTATAGCAAAACACCCCTAGAATACTACATGCATAACTCTTGATGCATAGACCGCAAATACAGGTGCATGCAACACGTATAATCAATAGCTGCATAGACGATTAAAATCCAAAAGACACGCCTATTGGTTAAAATCCAAAAGACATGGTTATTGGTTTAAACTCAAAAGACATGATTATTAATTTCATAAGACATGACTATTGATTGAAAATCAAAAGACATGACATCCATATATATATATATATATATATATATGTCGAATGAATATTTATGACCCAAACTAAAACATGTCATGGTACGATGTTGTATGAGTGGTACTATTTCACTAATAACTAGGGATGGCAATAGGGCGGGGTGGGGCGGGGATCTCATTCCTCATCCCCATCTCTGCTTAAAATTTCACCACCACTCCTATACCCGCCCCCGCCCCCGCCCCCGACCTCTTATCTCCATCCCCGCCCCATCCCCGACTCCAGCCCCGATTAACATATATTATTATTTTTTTTAAAAATATAATTTTTCTTATTTTCATATATATAATAAATCTAATTTAGTAATAAATTATTAAATGTAAGAGTATATTAGTAATTTAATACTTAATCGGGGCGGGGCGAGGCGGGGCGGGTTTACCCCATCCCCGGCTCCGGCGGGTTTTCAAAATTTACCCTCATCCCCATCCCCGTTTACATAAAAGAGTCTCCATCCCTGCTATAAACGGGCGGGGCGGGGACCTGACGGGGATGGGGAATTTTCCATCCCTACTTATAACGTTCATAAACAGTCGTGACCTCTTGATATAATTGACAATAGGTAACACTGGTACATGAATGTTATAAATTCATGTTGCCGCTTAACGTGATATGTATGACACCCAAATAAGCGACATTTATTACATTTGTAACATTACATCTGTAACGTGATTAAATTTATTTACTTCTAAATATGATTCTCTTTAGATTGAGTAATTCATTCTAAAGAAATTAGAGAGACGTTATAATAAATAATTGCGTGTGAAAGAAAATATTCATGTTGTTGTGATTGATAATTACTTATTGGAGAAGTGTTTTCCTTTCTTATTCCTTACTTTGATGGAAAGTAGAATTATATTACTAAAAGCAAAACTGATCATCTCTCTGTCTTTATAAAAGTGCATATACTCCATCAATTATGTACGATTAATGATACAACACGTAAAAGTTTTATGTGTACAAAAGGCCAAAAGAGAGAAACCAGTTTCCACCTTTGCCTGTTGATCAGAGTTGCAGATTAGTTCGTGGTTAAATGATATAGACGTTGGATTTAATCTCAACAAGGTTTGATATCATGAATCGAGATATTTATATCTAACCATTTATTTATGCATTATAGATATGTGAAAATTATGAAGTTCTAAGATATTGGAGCCTTCCGGTGTGAAAACAAAAAAATATTGTTGCCATCAGCATGTTAACCGTGCATGGAAAATATTCATGTTAAAATAACTGTGTGATGACATCGTATAGAGACTGATTCATATATTTCATATTTGCATATTAGCAGAAATTTTGAAGACGTTGTACATACATGTTTGTAATATAATATAAGCATACTAAATATGCTTTCCACACACATGGAATTTACGTATATAAATATTTTATCACGATATATATACATAAAATACAAAGTATATATATATATATATATATATATATATATATATATATATATATATATATATATATATATATCCTTATCCATCTCAAACATGTATTATATATAAATATTATACTATACTATTAACAATATAATGTTAACAAATAAATCAAATTTATGCATCAGAATCCATGTTGGCTCTGATACCACATGTAAGAAATTTTGAATACAAATAAACTCATGGATCTAATGCATAAATTTAATAAGAAAACATATCCGATATGAAACTCATTATGAAACTCTATTTAAGAGAATTACAACAGAAACAATCTTCAACCTTTTCCTATGTCTGTAAAATCGGATAATGGACTCTAGGGCCTTTTACGCATATATATAATAAGGGTTATGACCGTTTCATTTATACGTGAAGAGATGTGTGGTTCTATCAACCGACACAACTCTTTACATGTGACTATTAATTTTAAGAGTGTAACCTCTCTTATATGTATATATAAATAATATATTTAATTAATTATTGATAGACTACTAATTTACTTACACTTCAATGTCATTTGTCAAATTTCCTCATGAGGCTAATCAAATTCGAGACCCATATATATATATATATATATATATATTACTTGGGGAGAATTATTTTATGTATTGCTCTCTTCACTTCCATAATGTTTGGTTTCTTCCCCTTAGCATTCTCCTTCACCTGAGTATGAAATTGAAGATACAAATAGTTAGCGTTTTATTAAATTCAATACTATTTTGGAAGCAAAAGATGACATAAGATTATCAATTTTCTAAGTTAATGACCTGATCAACTGCTCCCACTATTCACCCATAAATTAGATGAAGGAAACTGTTTTTTAACTTGAGAAATTTAAATTTCCCTGATCGAACACCTTTTTTATTGGTGAGTTATATGCAAATAAATAAATAAATAAATAATAATAATAATAATAATAATAATAATAATAATAATAATAAAATGGGACTTCTCAGTTCTCAACTTCTCACTTCTTTATATTTATTGTATCTGAACAATCAACAAATTTTCGTCAAAAAATTATGTTTATCTATTCGGCTTAAATAGCACCAACATTCTCATTTCCTAGTCAATGGACATACCGTGACAACAATCATCAAATAACGTCCTAGTAAATTTTTACATCGGGTCTTGATGTAAAGCCTGATAAAAAATGGGCCGTTCCTATTATAGATGGGTTCGAGGCCCAGACATACTAATGAGTCCAATAGAGCGCAAGCACGGAGTGCTCCAGGATGGCCGGGACTCGTCGTGGATGCTTAAGTAAATCAGTAGTAAAATATGACGGCCCAGATGAATAGATCACATACCTTAGCCCTCAATTTGACAACAAAGACTCCATGGGTCAACGATGACTGGACGGTTGTGATCTCAAGAAGAAGGCCCCACAGCATCTGCATAACATCCAGCAACAACCCTTCCCTGTACGGACACTGCAGCTCCACCAGCGCATTGCTCTCTATTATCGACACCTGTACCTCCAAACCAACCCTCGCCACCGTATGCGGCGGCGGAGACTCCACTGCCTCCGGCTTCGCGCCACCGCTCCCCTCCCCAATCCTCCTCAACTCTCTCTTGTCCACCAGCGTGACCCCACTCCTTTTATCCTTCAAGTTCAACCCAGTCGTTCTCTGTGGGTCCATCGCCAATCTGGACCGTTGATCCATCTTTATCTGTAGTGCCTCGAGGCTATGAATCTTCCTGCGTAACTGCTGCACGTACACGATAGTGTCTCCAAGAATTGAGGCCTCGTCCATTTTGGTCACGAAGGGGACTAGAGACCTCAGTAAGATGAATCGCTCGTTGAGCTTCTGTCGACGGCGTCTCTCCGCTAGGACGTGGTTGGCGCTGAGCTCGTTGGTGGCGGTATTGGCTTCGTGGTACCTGGGAGAATTGTAGTAATGGCATTTGTTGTGGAGGAAGGGAACGGTGAAGAGAATGTACTTAAGTAGCCACTGGGAGGTGCCTTTGACAGCGTCATGGAGGAGATAGTGGTGGTGGTCGGAGCGGTTTGGCCACTGACAGAAGGCTGAGTGGGTGGAGTACATGAGGTGGTGAGTGGACGGTGATTTGGACCACGGGATGGATTGGTGGTGGTGGAGGATGGCTGAGACTGTGTGAGTGTAGTGGGTGTCCTCTTGTGAAAATTCTTCCAATGGAAGGGCTCCTATGCAAATAAGATAAGGGAGTTAAGATGTATGAGTAGGATTTATTTATAATTTTCCTTTAAAATTTGAAAAAAGATGGATGGATAAAATTTAGATAATGCATGCATATCTAGAGTTGTGAGTCGTGACAATAGTCAGATTGAGACCACTCGTACGTTTGATGTGAATTCTACCAACCCGCATATAATGGAGTTTGGGATGAGTAAGTGCATGACGTGGTTCCACATCAGACTTAAACACGTGATAGTGCTCACATGAACATGTTAATGAGTAATAAGGACCGTTGGATACAGTATAACATTTTGTTGGAGATGCAAACTGTGTATGTGTGACGTGGGTATTCAAATATATATATATATATTGGTAATTTATATATGAGGGAAAGATTGGATAATGCTAATTATTAATTTAGAAATAAGACTTGATTTCAGTAATGTATCAGAACTATATTTACCTGAATTTTGTGGTTGAAGGTTGTGGTTTAATGGGCGTTGTAAAAGTGGACACATGCGGGAAGATTCAGCCGGCCTACAAGAGTCAACTTGGCGTTGATGATGGGCTGCTGCTTGCAGGTGAAAATCCTCCTCCAATTTATTATTAATGGAGGCATCGTCTGGTGAACCGAGCCAAAAATCCTCAGACATGTCAAGTTGAATCAGCTCAATTGGCTCAGCCGCTGCATGAGCCACGACTACTCCCTGATCAGTTACACCGCAGCTGTTGTGCATATCACCCTCTGAATTCAATTCTTCTTCTTCTTCTTCATCTTCTCCATCATCATCGATTTGATTGGCATTTGCCGGTGAATCGACATGTGCATATATGGCAGCCAGCATTGAAGGTGGGTGTAAACGTGAATTCTGTGATGAGGTTGCAGGTAGGTTAGAAATGGAGTGCTCGGAGAGGGCAGGTTTTGGAGGCTGCGTCAAGCTCTCATCAGTGAAGAAGGTCTTCACATGCTGGACAAATCCTAGGTTCTCTTGAACCTGCAGTGCCAATAAGTGTTTGATATTTAGATAGTATTAATTAGCATTTTCAATATCAATAAACAGCGCGCACTACTCTCTATACAACATGAAATCCTTAATTCTCTGAATAAATAAGATGAAATCCTTAAGCACTTCACATGTGGAAGAACGTTGGTAGATGATCACCATTTCTGTTGTGCCGAGTTCGACTACACCATCTAGTAGAGGAATGCATACTACAGTCTGCAGCATCATATATATATATATATATATATTGCAAGGGTTAGGTTTTCCATATATGACTCAACAACAGATGGAAAAAAATAAAATACAAATACAAATATCCAGGCCAGAATGTTACAAAATCGACATGCGGAAAAGTACCTTTATACCAGCACTCTGCTGCGCGCAACAGCATGGAAGTTTCATTGAGAAATAGAGAGAAAAAGAAATATTTTTAGTAGTTTGTGTTGAAGCTAGTCGATATAAAGAAATAAGATATATATTAATATTGTTGTTAAGGATATACGGGGTATCAGACAAGTAGAAGAGATGTGATGGTACCTTGGCAAGAATAGCTCGGGAAAATACTTTGCTATCCTCCTCATTTGCACCAGTAACTAGCCATACATGCTGCCGCTTTGTGTACGCCTTCCCCGGTAATCTGCAAATTAATCACAATTAATTAATGATGTTAAAGTTAGAGTTAACATCATTAATTAATGAAAATACTTGACTCTTAAGACATGGTACAGAGAGGGCCGGCCATGCATATACAAATTAAGACTATCTCTTTGAATTATAACTTTTCGATTTAATTTCAATTAAAAAAAATATTTGGGTACGAACAGTATGCATTACACTTCTCTCCAACTTCCCGGTATATATGAGACCTAGAATTCTTCCCCCGGGTCAATGAAACCTATAATAAAGACGGAGGGGTGATCAATAAGATTGAATTGAATCGGTTGCCACTTTAGTTCCCACAGATGGAGGGATAGATGTGACTATAGTTCTTGTGCTTTCTTAGCCCCTTTACTAGACCTTTCTTTTTATAAATAGTGAAGCGAACTACAAGAAGGAAGCTAGCTAGCTAGCCCTTGAGAGCTTCAGTGCATGGTTTCAACTCGATCATTGGTACTTTTCTAAAACAAACTTCCATTACTAATAAAATTTCTTTGTTTTCAGTGAGATGAGAAGCATATATAGTGTAATGCGTTGCTTTATGATTATGGATCTGTTGGACAATTCAGATTGTTTTGATGCGGTGGGACTCATGACATCAGCTGGCTCACATGCATCAAAACAGTCAAAGTTGTGAAACTTTACACGGAGTATAATTATATATCGAGACTCTTGTATTAAAAGGATCGAGTATTGTACAATAAGGATTTTTAGATAAAATGATGCTCTACTAGAACTTAATGCATGCATAAGTACCAGCAACAATATATTTATACTCTGAACACAAATCACTGTGTGTCAAGGTTGTTAAAATCGGGATTCTACGTACAATCGTTTTGGACTCCGTAGAATCGGAATCGTAAAATCGGATCGTGAATCGTAAGATTTTACCAAATTGTGAAAAAACAATTGAAACTAACTTCTTAAATAATAAGATCTGTAAAATATAACAAAAATGAGGCCAAAACACACAATATTACACATTCATGAGTTCACAAATCTCAAATCTTAATAATATTTCAAAGTCCGAATATAAATAAAAGAAAATTTAGCTCAAAATAACATGAGTTTACAAATCTCAAATCTTAACCCATCCATCTCCAAAGTTAGAAAATAAAATTACATATCAAAAGTAAACTGCTTCTTCTTTTTTTTTTTTTTTTTTTTTTTTTAAACTGAAGAAATAAGAAGACCTTTTTGTCCACCAATCCAAGTGTTACGGTGTATGTGACCTTATTAGTCACAAGTATGAAATTAATCAAGAGTTAGCACAACAAAATATGAATTACGTGTTAACTTGATCTCATTATATTATCAGTTTAAACTACAAGATTATACATTGGCTGACATATTTGGCAAGTCTTTTAAGCTTTTAAATTATTTTTAATTTTTAATATATATGATAAGCCTTCAAAAAATAAAAATAGTCAAATGAAATCAAAATTTGCCTAAACCTGTTAGTTACGAGTATGCATTTTTGAGATATAATTGATCATTTTAATTTTTTATAATTAAACACAAAAATATATTATGGAACATCAACATACATGGTAAAAATAATTGATATATATACATATATATATATTTCTTTTTCTGCCACTAATGAAAAATAATTTATATTTTATATAATAAATATTTAACTTTGTATACTACACTTGGGCCAGGCCTCTTTTATTTTATAGCCCGGAGGAAACCAACCAAAAAATAAAAGAAAGCCCAAAAATAAAGGCCCAAACAACCAATTTCGTAGAATCGTGTAGAATCGTACGATTCAGCTTCCGATTTTACGATTCTACCCCCGATTCTATCGATTCTACTAATTGAATGATTCTGCTACGATTTGACTCGATTTTGAGTTCTGAGTCGTAAAATCGTGCGATTCTATAATTTAGAATCGCGATTTTGACAACCATGCTGTGTGTTAACATGCATAACCAAGCTAGAATTACCAACATGCATGTACTTGTATGTAACAATTCAATGCCCATCCGCTTTTGGTTGCTGAATGCTTTAAAGCGCACATGCACACATAGAGAGAGAGAGATTGTGAAGTTAATTTACTGCAGCTGTGACTGATCAACTACGTCATGGAGAATCCACTTTGTATATAGTCTCCCTTTCATTTTCCCAAGAACAAGTTTCTATCATTAATTTAAGTCTAACCAATCTCTTTTCTTCAACAGATAAGATGAGAAAGACAAGCACGTACGGTATCATGAAGCCTCTCATCTAACTTTTTGTAAGATTTCTTGTAACTCAACTAGCATTTATGCACCAGCCTTGTGAAGTACTGATCTGGCAATCAAGAATAGGTTTTGTTTTCACTTGATGCATGCATGTGGTCACCATCATATATCTATAGGTTTAACACTATTGCAATATCTACCCATCATCCTACCAGTCTCAATAACTACTATTCATATGCATGTGTACTTGCTTCCTCGCATTTCATTCACACAACCACCCTCAATTTTATCAATAAATTGAATTTAACTTTCAAAAAAAAAACCACCCTCAATTTTTTACTCCAACTTAATTTCAGAGAGAGAGTGTACTCCATCGCATTTTAATTTCTTCTTTCTTCTTGTAGTAAGTATTGAATTGTGTGCACAATTTGGTGATGTCCTAGTCTGGGCTGGAAAGGTAAATCGAATTTATACAAGATAGAGAGAGGTAGAGATAGATAATTAAATCAATGCGGTACACTAGCTTGTACATATTTGACAAGAGGGTAAACCAAAATAAATCATTAATTAATCGTGCATGACTGGTAAAAAAAAACAAAAAATCATGCATGACCCATAAAATTTTCTTCGTTTACTTGATTTGAAATAAGTCCACTAATACAGAAAATAAAATTAAAGTACATAGACCATATACATATAACTGATAAAAATACAACCTAATTGATAGATATATATATATCCTTATATATTTAAAGTAAACATGCTTTAGTGAAAATCAGGTAATTTATGAGTTAACTAATTACTATAGCAAAACTTACCCTACTCCAGGAGAGAAAGAGAAGGAGACACACATGAGATAGAACCACTCCAACTCTGTCAAATCTTCCGGTGACAGTGCAGCAGAGGGTCGCCGTGCTGGCTGGTTCAACTGATCTCCTGTAGACAGTGACTCATACAGCTCTCTGAGCTGCTGGCTTCGTTGCAACGATGCCTCCTCGGCACTGACTTCCATTGGCTGCACTGTCTTCCTCGTCTTGATGGCTCCATTGTAATATCCATCTCCCCACACTAACATCCTATACCATGCAGTACCATTCTAATGATCATAAACGTACATGATCTAAACTTCTAAACCTAATCCAAATTGAATACGTACCCCTTGTGAATACAATTCTTTACTCTTAACAAATAACGAATTAAAATATATACCTTTGTTGGGGACATAATTGCCAGAAGAGACTATATGTCCATTGAACCGCTTGCACTGCAGTCTGTAACATAGTCTGGAGCTGCCTACTTGGCGACGCAGCCATTTCAATCTGCTGCTGCTGCAGAGTTGTCACTACCACACTTTCTTTAATCTTCCAAAGATTTATCTTTCCATCTATCAAATTTAATTTGAGAGAGAGAAAGAAGAGAAAAGAAAAAGAAGAAGAAGCTGAATATACCAGTTTAATTCAAAGGATCATCTAGCTAAAAATCAAACCCCAGGGCCCTTAAACCACTAAAACAGTGTGTGTTTTTGTGTGTGTCACTGTGTGTATGAGAGAGAGAAGAGAAGGTGTGACTTGTAGGTGAGAAGGAAAAGGCAGATGATGATTTTGATGGAGAGATTCAATTTTCAATTGATGTTATAAGAGAATGATGTAGCTCTAAGTGGAAGATGGTTGTTAGTTTAGGGAGATGGGTAATATTTTTAGGGATAGAGAGAGTTTTATAGGGTTTGAGAAGTACCATTTTTTCATATCTTCTTTGATTACTTCGTCTACTTTTGCAGAAGAGTTTGACACTCTTTTAAACGAATATATGCATGTCACTGTTACACAAAGACTTTTATTTTATTTTTTTTCTTGAAAATTTACACAAGAATGTTATTTGTGTGTAATGAACTTGACATGCATCATTTAAAAGTAGAAAAATGATTTGTTGGCTGATTTGTTTATTAAACCTATAACTTTTAATTGGTCATGCATGGTAAACATGAAGAATCACTTGTATATATATATGTGTGTGTCTATTCATCTTATTTTTTTTGTTAAGAGTTTGGCCGAGATCTTTTATTTTCTATCATGAGTGTGAGGCAAACTAAAATGCACACAAAGAAAGTAACAAGTTTGGGCCAAAGTAAAGTAAAATATTTTTCATAAAATATTTTTTTATTTTTTGGTGTTTGATTGCCGTAAAATAATTTATTTATCAATTTATATATATATATATATTGGTGACTGTGATCACAGCCATGTACCATATCATCATTCTCGTTGTAAATGCATGGGATGAACAGGTCCAGCTGAGTTTCACTAAATATCTTTTTCTTCCTAACCTTCGTATCAGCCATATATTGTTTTTTTGGCAATTTCATTTCACCCAAGTTTTCTTTTTGGTGACTTCTATGGGATTCAAATAGACAGAGAGAGTTTACTTTGGTAATGATGGACAACTGGGCCTAATTGGCTCATAATAGGTCCAAATGAATGACCCAATCAATTTGGACCTAAACCATGTAGAATAATGGGCCTAATATATTTGAAGTTAGCCAGCCTGGAATTGTAGTTTCTGAAGCCCAAATATGAAATTATACTACATCCAGGCTCAATGTCCAAACTCCTGATAGCATCCTTGATAGCAAATGGTATCAGGAATTATTGGGCTAGGGCTAAAGTGGCCCAAATAGGTCAAAACAGAAAGGCCCAAGAAAAATAGACCTCAACCTAGCCCATGTTTTCTTGTGGGTAAGCAACACATGCACACAGTGGCGAGCCACCACGTTGGGGGACTAGCGGAGGACTTTTTATTTAATTATATTTTCTATACAAATTTTACTTTTTTAATAATTACAGGTGCCCATTAAACTCCTTAAAAATTCACAAAAGTCCTTGAGACAAACTCCAAAATTCAAAAAGACTCCTCCTTTCTAATTTACTGGTCTAATATGTTTCTCAAAATTCAAACAATAAACATCCTTTCTCTTTGGACAATACTTATGTCTTCATCGGTGATGATGTACATCATCTCACTGTTGATATTGACTAATAACAAATTGACACGTTTTTTTATTTTTTTTTATTACCAAATTACACTATCTCTGATTTAAAATTAAAGAAGACGTATCAATTTATTATTAATCTACGTCAACAATGAGAACAATGCACATCCCATTTTGAGTTAAATCCCCGTGTAATGAATAATGCTCTTATCCGTTGGGAATGAGTGGGCAGGACAGGAAGCGAGAATGTCAAATTCTTGAGCTACAAGGTCATAAAGTTACTCGAGTGTTTGATAGATAACTATATATGTATCTATATATAATTCAATTTATGCGTATATAATATACACACACGTCTGTGTGTCGGCTTTTACCTCACAACCACTTATGAATGATAAAAGTGTTTAAACCCACGTCACAAATTGTATTGGGTTGCCTAGCTTGTAGTCCTCTGAAGCAAATCAGGTGCAGTAAGATTACGAAACTCTCGTGCATATACAACGTGACAGCCACTTTACACGGCCCCAGCACCAGTAGGAGTCGAGTCGAGTTGAGTCTCAATATATCACGTGTATCGAGAGAAACGGCCCAAAATATGAGAGAGAATAGTTTTCATTAGACCTGAATCCTCTGTTGTATAATACGGGTATGTGCATATATTTCAATCACAACTCTTGAACGTTATAAGGCACTCGCACTGTTACTCTATACATATAAATTTGTTTATTAAGATGCACATGTCAATCCATCTTTTTCAAAAAACTGAAAAAGAGTTAACGTGCAATATATTGTCAATCGTTGAATGAGATAAAACTTTACGACAATACGGACTAAGCCAGCGGCCACCATAGGTAAACTAAGGCAGCGGCCACCATAGGTAAGTATGGGTGGATGGGGAACCTCATGATTATAGGCATTGAAGATAGTAATAGGGGCCAACACAAGCTCAACTTTGTCACCTGCAACAGTTAATTGTCACGTGTGAGAGACAAAAACCTAATTCGGCTTAAACTAGAACTCTATCTGGTAGTGTTATTGTGCTCCGGTGACAGCATCCCATTTCCTTTAGCGGCATAAGCGGGCATTAAGTGGAACCTCCACTTATCACGTTATCAACATTTTTATTTATTTGTTAGGTACTCAACTTTTGTTGTTATGGAATAAAATCAGTCCAGAAATCAATTAATATCAAGGGCAATGGGCACTCTCACACTCCCGTTTTGCAATAAAGACAGACAGATACAATTTAAAAAGAATGTGATTCAATTACCCTCGAGTTTACAAACTTGAACAACACTACCTTCAATTATGATAAGTGTACGTAACTACTCTTTGATTTCTGAATTGATCCATTTAAATCATTAAAGTACAATATTAACCTCTAACACTGTGGCCGCTAACGTCATATGAATACAGAAAGGGTGCCGCTAGGAATTTTTAATTGGGGTGGTCAAACTAGTAATGAAAAATTAAATTTTAAAATAATATAAAATCATTGTAAGAAAATTTGTGTGTGCATGTTTAATGTATATTGTTAAAAATGTGTCTATAAATAATATGCAAGAAAATTAAAAAAGAAAAGTTGTGGAGTGAATCATTGTTGTTATCAAGTAAATAAATTTTTTTTTTCTTTCTAATTCATAACAAATACGTTGTAATATTTATGTTTGTGTAGGAAGATATATGTGTGTAAATATAGTATATTGTTATAATGATTACCATAATAATTAATAGGAGTAGTTTTTTTTTTCAAAATTTGATCTCTTATAGCAAGAGGTTTATTGGATTTTGAAGGATTACAGGTAATTTCATTTTCAAACTATCTTTAATATTAGGGAACCATAAATAAAATTTTTTTTAAAAAAAATTCGAGGGATCAACTTTAATTTTATATAGAAAACAACTATTAATATTTATGATTTAGTATCATAAATAGAGTGTTGCAAAAAAAATTGAGGGGACCAACTTTAGAGCATATCTAGCAGTCCTTTAAAATATTATTTTATGTAAAATATATAATGCCATGTATGATAGTGTAATTTTATTTTATTTTATTTATTTTTTATTTTTTTATTTTTTTTATCTCCAGCAATCTATTAAGATACACTGCCACGTAATCGTGTGTAAAATTGTTGTATAAGAGCATCTCCAGTAGTTTGTTAAAATACTCTTTTGTATAAAATATACACTGCCACGTATAATGCGAAATTTTATTTTATTTTATTATTTATTATTATTTTTTTAATCCCCAACAATATGTTAAAATACACAAATGTGTAAAATTGTTGTGTATTTTACACAACATTTTTACACAGCCACATCATCAGATTTTCTTTCTCCTCCTTCTTTCTCATTCTATTAACGAATCAATCCTATATTAAGAACATTTGTAAAAATTATGTTTGACACTAGTTAATTGTTATTGGTGGATATATTTTACACAAAAGGTATAAAACAACAATTGTAGTTAAAAATAAATAATTCAATTTTTTTATTATTATTTATATAAATCTATTATGACACATTAGATTTACAAAATATATATATATATATATATATATATATATATATATATACACACACACACACAACGATTGGAGATACTGTCCAGCCGTAAGTTAAAACACTCTTTTGTGTAAAATATACACGGTCACATATTTAAAACATTCTTTTGTGTAAAACATACACTGTCACGTATGATGTGTATATTTTTATTTATCTCCAGCTGCCACGTCACTAATGTGTATAATTGTTGTGTATTTTACACAATTACATCAATATATTTCATTTCTCCTCCCCCTTTCTCATTCTATTAACTAATCAACCATATGTTAAGTAGGTTTGTAAAAATTATGAAGGTCCAAATATGACACTGGTTGGTTATTATTAGGGAATATATTTTTACGCAAAAAGTATAAAATAACTGTTGAAGTTAAAAATAAATAATTCAAAATTTTTGTATAAATCTATTATGACATATCAAATTTACACAAAAAAAAAAAAAAAAAAAATGTACAAACGGTTGAATGAAGATGCTCTTAATTTTTATGTAAAACATCACCATAACTTTAATTTAATACCTTAATAAGGTTTTGTGAAAAAATTGGGGAGGCTATGGGCCCCTCGCCATCTGCCCAGTATACAGACTTCAACATCCACCACCACCACCACCACCACCACACCGTCCACAAGCACCCACAAGAAATCATTTGTATTTTTTTTTTTTTTTTTTTGGATTAGCTAGTTAACTTGAATTAGTTCGACTTGAAAATAAAGTTAACAAAAATACCTCAATGGGATCCAGTCTTTGAGTTAGTAAACGGAAAACTGTTAGCTTGATGCATCTAAAAATGTTAAATATTGCTGCTAGATGATGTTTAACCGTAGCAAGAGCACGAAAATTGAGCGCACCCAACAAGAACTTCAGCACCTGGATCATCCCCTGTTGACCCCCTTATCTAAAAATATGAAATCTTAAGGCATCTTAACTCATTAGCGTGGGGAAGATTGTTTGCCTGTAATCTTTCTTTGTTATATGCTCGGTCTCCTCTTCGGGGCAATATAAATTGATATTTGTGGACTATGTGAGGGTGGTGGTGATGTTGAAGTCTGTATGCATGCTGCCACAGTAGCGAAGGGTTTTTTTTTTTGTTTTTTTTGAGCTAAGGTCATTTTGATCAAATAAAATGACTTATAAAGGTTAGTATTGTACTTTAATTATTTAATTATTTAAATAGAATAATTCAAAAGTCAAATAACAATTATATACTTATATTCTTGTTATTC